CTCAACGATTCAGATATCATGGTTAGGGAAGAGGAAGATTGGATGTGTCTTCTTTTTCAAGATGGATTAAGAATGATTGATATTGAATCGAGAGAATGGATTTTGGAACAAGTTGACTTTGATCAAGATTGGCAATATGTTGCTTGTTCGAATGTCTATTCAAAGAAAAAGTCAACCAACTCACAACTTGAAAGAACTAATGTTTCAATGAATTTGAAGAATTTGAAGGATTATATTGATTGGAAGGAGTGTAAACAGGCCACTCATGTAAATAAGTATTCCAAGTTTGCCAAAACTGCTGGTAATATTCAATATTACAAACCAGCTCAACCAATTGTGAAAAAGAGCAAACTAAGCAAGGGTGTAATGGACTTTGTTTCGTCTGAGAATTTTGGAATGGCCACCATGTTGGTTTGTCCTCCTTTAATACTCGCTCATTGGTATGCTGTTTATCAAAAGGAAAGTATAGAATTGAATAGTGCCCAATATTTCGAATCTGAATGGGTATTCAATAATAGAGAACAATGCCTGGAATCAGTTGCCATTCTAAAGAGTTATCCTAAATACATTCAAAAACATATCAACCGATACAGTCAAGAAGAATTAGACAAAGTCTTTCCAAAGAAAATTATTTCCAAGAGAATTGCCTACGACTATATTCGAAAGCACGGATTTAACATTGAAAAAGTTGAATCCAAAACTGGATCTACCACTCCTACTTTCTGTATCAAGTGTGGATCTGAAATTTTGATCGAGTTCATTTCCTCATTCCAATTTTGCCTTAACCTTATCAAGTTGTTTACTTTCATGTCAGTTTCATTCATTTCAAGAACTATGGCTCTTTCAGTCAATATTCTGTATGAACAATTGAGACGTGTCAATGAAGAAACTTCACACAATGAGGAACCTTTACAATCATCACCAGATGGAGAAGCCATTCTTTATCATACAAAGTTAATTTATTCATGTGAATAAACATTTTCAAAATTCCATTCTCAAACTTCTATACTTTCTTACTATTTTTCCAAGTAAATATCCAGAACAAATTCCCAATAGCAAACTAGTCTTGTCTCCACTGATAAATTGTAATGCAAATGCTGCGAAACCAATTTCAATTTCTGATCTGGTTTTAAGACAGAGGAAATCCTAGATCAAAGATATTTGTGTTACTAGCTCTAAGTGGAGCTGGTAAGAGCCATTCTCTATTCTATTTGAATACTAGTAACACAGCATTCACCAAATATAAACAGTAATAATTTTGTATGATCGGATGACTTCGTGTACATTGGCCACTCCATTCTCACTCCAATCCAAATTCCATACAAGTGAGAAACTTCATTGGCAAAATAACAAGATGCTCTGATTTCCCGCCAAAATTATTAATCCTGTTAAAAATCACGTTTTGCAATTTTGGTAATCAAGGCAAGGTTGTCTGTGACGTGTAAATTTCTCACACTTGACATTTGTAGCTTTTCAAAAAACAATGACCCAACAACACTTCAGCAGTATTCATCATTTCTTCACTTTGTTTCTTCTGCTCGTGATTATTCTGTCCACTACTACTAATATTACTTTCGTTTCCGGTCAAGCTGTTTACACTAGTTCTGTTATCGGTGGAACATTGAACGAAACAAGAGCCATCCATGCCAAAATTATTATCTTTGACAATTATGTTGGTCGTCAATTGGCTATCTCTGCCAATGGTGATATGTATACAACTTTGGGTAGAGGAACTGTTCGTAAAATTACTTCTGATGGATTATTTGTTCCATCGGTTGCTGGAATTGAGACCAGTTATGGATTTAGTGGTGATGGTGGGTTGGCAATTCATGCACAACTGTCATATTCACTGGGTATATCTGTTAATCCAATGAATGGAGATGTGTACATATGTGACATAAACAATCATAGAATTAGAAAGGTTTCGTCTGATGGTGTTATTTCTACCATCGCTGGAACTGGTAGAACAACTCTAAATCCCATCTCTCCAAATACGTACCGTCAAGAAGGAGGTTACAATGGTGATGGATTGGCAACCGCAACAGATCTTAATTATCCGAAATATGCTCAAGTTGACTCAAAGGGAGATGTCTATTTTGCTGATACATATAATGGACTAATTAGAAAGGTTTCCAATGGATATATTACAACAATTGCAGGTTCAAAGCAAAATAGTACAGTTAATACATTTGGTATGGCCCTTAATACTACATTTGGAGATTTGAAATCTTTTTCAATGAATTTGAATACTGGAGATTTGATGATTTATTCAAATAAGGGAATATTTAGAGTATTTTCAAACGGTACTGTTGTAGTAATACGAAACAGTTTGCTTATTTCCAATAATTATTTTGTTGACATTACATTCAAATCTGATACAGAAGTTCTTTTTGGATTGACCAATTCTATTATTTCTTACAATTTAGTTACCAACACTCCAC